TTCTAAATGTCTGCAGGGCTTGTTTTGACACCCACCTCTGCAGGACTCACCTGCAAAGTCTGCCTACTGCAGACCTTTAGCCTTACCACTCCTTCTGAGGCATTCGTGGTTGCACCGGGTCTCCGCTGGTCTTTGAGATGGCTACTATTGCCGAGCACCTTTGACAACTGCCATGCTCCTACAAGCAGCTGTTGTTTTTGTCAGTGGTAGGCTGCGTACACTGACTTGCTGGCATCACTTCATTCTGACCACGGATGGTAAAGAAACACCTAATTTACCTGAACAATTTGGATCTGACCTTGCTTCCTAAGCCTGGTTACCAGCCCTCGCGCGGTAAGACCGTGAGCGTGGCATTTCTGAAGTTCTGTAAGGTCAGGCCTCGCTGTACTGTGCCCTAAGCACTTCCCTTCTGGGGAAACAAAGGGGGTCATTCCCCTACCTTCCTCTGTGCCCTTTCCAAAGAGATGTACTTCGCACTCTCTGTCCAGCTGCTTTCAAAACAAGTTGTCCACCATCATCCTCCTTGAGACCTGAGATCTGCAAGGCAGAGGTGAGGGCACCTTTTACAGCAGCGTGCTCACGCAGCTCAGCATGGATGAGGGCAGGGGAGAGGAGATTTGAATAATAAAGGTAATAATTGTTTGTCTACTGTGTATTTGGACCCAGCCTTTTTATTGTGCCTATAGTAACAGGGAGGAGAGGGAGAAAGCAAGAGCTCTTGTACGGTTCTTGAGAGCTTGCAACCAAAAATGGGCAGGGTGACAAGAACCACATTGTTTTGGGTAATCAGCGTGCATTGTCCCAGACTGACATTAACACATGCCAATAAAACCTTTAAATTCACAGGGAATGGGGGAAGTGCAAAATGATTAATTGTTTGACATTTAAAAGAAAATAAAGAGCTGCTGCTGGATTGAAACTTAAATGAGACTTGGGGATGGAGGGAAAAAATTACCAGGATGTGCTGGTTTTGTCTGGGATAGAGTTAATTTTCTTCAAGGTAGCTAGTGTGGGCTGTGTTTTGGATTTGTGCTGGAAACAGCGTTGATAACCCAGAGATGTTCTTGTTATTGCTGAGCAGGGCTTACAGAGTCAAGGCCTTTTCTGCCTCTCACCCCACCCACCCACCAGCGAGTGGTCTGGGGGTGCACAAGGAGTTGGGAGGGGACACAGCCAGGACAGCTGACCCCAATGACCCAAGGGATATCCCATACCGTATGACGTCATGCTCAGCATATAAAGCTGGAGGAAGAAGAAGGAAGGGGGGGACCTTCAGAGTTGTGTTCCCAAGTCACTGTTCTGTGTGATGGAGCCCTGCTTTCCTGGAGATGGCTGAACACCTGCCTGCCCGCCCAAAGGAAGTGGGGAATGAATTCCTTGGTTTGTTTTGCTTGCATGCATGGCTTTTGTTTTCTCTATTAAACTGCCTTTACCTCAACCCACGAGTTTTCTCAGTTTTACTCTTCTGATTCTTTCCCCCATCCCGCTGCGGAGGAATGAGCGTGTGGCTACCCGTGGCTTAGTTGCTGGCTGGGGTTAAACCACAACACAGGAGCAGGTTGAGATTTTTATGTAATTCCAGTGCAAACTTCACAAATTATTTTGTGTTTCTGATCTTGTGGCCCCAAAGTCCCAGATCTTTGTGCTGATACACGCTCTTAAAGCAAGAGACAGCACTTAGTCCAAATAGCTTGTGGGGCAAGTAAAGGGTGAAACAAAAGAAGGGTGTTTATAAGTAGGAACCGATGCTTGATATGCCCAAGATTAAACTTTTCATTCCACAACTAATCACCGGTAAGTCTAGGAATTAACTTAGGCCTCTTTAGCCCCTGCAACCAGTCCTATATTCACCAGGCTAGTGTTGCTTTCCTGAGGCTAGAAAGAGCCCAGACATTTATAATTTAAATCCTCTATGTATCCACAGGACAGGTAGAGCATAGGTGGAAATACATCAGAGGAAGGATTCCTACTGTTCATTTGCTATTGCATGAGGGCCAAGGGAATAAGGTCCCAAATGATTAAGACCTCAGATCTCTTCAAAGCAAAAATGAAATATAAATGAAGTAATGAATTTCCAGCGCCATGTGCAGTGACAGAAACACAAGGTGACCAAGAGACTGAAGAGGCTGATATAAAGTCTAGAGTCATGGAACACGTGCCAACTTCTGCTATCTGGTTGTGTGTCCTTGAGCAAAGTCATGTCTAAGAGGTAAATGGAAACAGTCAGGCCAAACCAGTACTGTGGGTCTTACATACCTGTAATAATGGTTTGTTGAATGATTTTCCGTTGGGAGGAGCTGAACCAGGTCCCTCGATGTAAAACAAGTTTTGTGTCAATGAATCCATCCTGGATTACATCAGGCAATATCTTGTTCTGCAATAGTGAAATCTCATTAAAGGCACACACAGAGAGCTCTGCTAGGTGTCACTCTCCAAACACGTTTTGTGTCTGCGGCTGGGTTTGCAGAGTTATCGTGCTCTTGGCTTTTCTTTTCTCTTTCCTGATGACAATCTTGAGTAGCACTGTTTGCTCAGGTTCCCTCTGCCTTCCAGCACACTGTTTTTTGCATTTTTATTTGCATCAGATTATTGGAGCAGGAGTCTAAACACTTAAGTTACTGCAAATCCCTCCTCATATGGAAGTCAGTGAGCTGTAAAATATTTAAACTGTCTACAGTTGTACCTCATTTGTTTACACATTTCCAGTGGGCTGCTGAAAGGTAACATACTGTAACAGGAGAAAGATCCAAGATTGCTGATTCTGATTTCATAACAGTTCTAAAAGTGCCCTGAATACCTGCATTAACTTGATGGAGTAATATATATTTCAACTTTCTGAAGCCTTAGAGCCCAAGTGGAGCAGGAAAGCTACGTGCTTTCTTCCAGACTCCTTGCTTTATGCTTTCACTCTGATCATTGGGGGAAATGAGGTTAGGCAGGTCTTGCTGTAGTTACTGCTGGAGTCATCCCCAAATCGTCCTCCGCTCCCCTGCCCACATCCTCTGCAGCTGGGTCTTTCAGCCCATTTTATTTTTCCACTTGCCCTGCTGAGGAGGTGCTCCAGGGCTCGGTGGACAACTGAACACAGAGTTAGATGTGCTCCTCTTCAGAGCACTTGTAAGTGTCTTGTAGAAAAGGAAAAGAGCGTTGTGATTCTTCAAAGGGCAGGGAGAGGAGGTGATAGACGACTAATCAGTCCCAAGGCAGCAGAGGGCATCAATGAGTTTGAAGATTCATCTCCAGAGCTGAAGGAAAATAGCCAGACACTGTACTGAATAATTAACAAGGCAGATTTGAGCTCTTTCC